TATTATGCTCATACACTCACACTGAAGGAGCCATTATGATGATTTTCGTGGCCCCAAAGAGACCCCATATTAAACTGCTAATAAACAGATCTTCTCCTAGTGTTGACCACATGGGTTGTAATGTACACTGGGGCAGAATGTGCTCCAACTCATGCCCAAATGTAGGGCAGTGGACGGCTACAGATCGATATGGAGACAAAATTTGAGTTAAAAATAAAAAGGCGAGGCTAATTCTGGGCAAGCAACCATCCTCGTAGGGAATATACTGTTTCTGTCTCTGTCCAGCAAGAAAATTTGCTTGGGTGCTTGCTGGTACGCGTGCTTCTAGGGTCCACCCTGTGTGCCACAACTAGAAAACTCTGCCAAAAGGAACAAACGAAAGGTAAAGACAATGACCTTTGCCTGGGCAAAATAAAAACCAGTAATAATACCTTCCCCGTGCAGGGTTATTAATACTAAGCAGTATACACTGCTAGCATAACAGGTACTTAGAAACTGCTTTTGCTAAAAAGCATGGACTCTTTACCCAGGCCTATGAGTTCATCAGAAGGAGGAAAACAAAACAAACCACTAAAACTTGGCATTTCTACCTCCATTTTGCATTTGTCTCCTTACATTGTCTTTCTCCCTTGCAATCACCTTGGGTTCCAGGAAGGACAAGAGTGATCAATATCATCTTTACCACGAGAACTGAAACAAGCTATGCCAAAGGAAAGGAACAGCAGAGTCTTAGGTAGAGTCTCATAAATGAGGACAATTACTTATTATAAAGTTGCTCTGGGCCAGGACTCATCCCACAGGATCCAGATTGCTCAACTCAGGTGATGACAGATACCCTGAACCCAAACTCAGATAATCACTAGGTTACACCCTGCCTGGACTTGTTTAACTGTTCATGATTCTCCTTCCTTGCTCCAATTCTTTTTCTGTTAAACCTCCAGCTCATGTCTACACCTGGATGATGGGAAGGCTTACTTGGGCTGAAATGGCTATAGCATGTCCATGCTGCATTAATAAATCTCCTTTCTCTGCCCTGCACCGTTCCCAGTGTATCTGATGTATTGGGATGAGACAGACATAGGTGGAACCTTCGGTGTTTGGCCTGCAGCTTCAGTGACACCAGGAAGAGACTTAAAAAAATAAAAGAAATTGGGAGGATTGGGGGGGGGGGTGTAGGGGGGAGGCTGGGAAGGGATGTGAAGGGTAAACAAAGGAGGAAGCTGCAATGCTTGATAAGAAATGTACGCATTATCCTGCCCATGTAATTGTAACCCCTCTGTACAGTATGTTCACAAAAAAAATTAAATTAAAAAAAATAAATTAATTTCATTGGGTGAACAACAGTAGGGCCCACAACCTTAAAATAACAATGGAAGAGTTTAAACAAAGACAGCCTGCATGGATTGAAAGAGTGCTTCTAGACGCCACAGGTAAGTGATGACAAATGCACATACCAGGGTGGTGAGGAGCAGGGTGGTCGCCTCCCGCCTCTGAACAGTTGTCCAAGCAGTGTCCAGGGGGCCCCACAGAAACTGGCTGCATGCCAGAACTGGATGTTCTTGCCCTGTGGCTGAAGACACCACATGCTCTGGCTGTACAAGGCATGGAGAAATCAGTTGGGAGCCAATGGAAGCTTCATCCCTAGTGGCTATTCATAGTGCCAGAAACCCTCTGCAGGTTGCCAGGGAAGAAGAGCTGCCAAAGGTCCTACTTGGTGAAGGCCCTCCATGTGTTACACTGTCAGCATGCCCTACAGGATTGACCCACGGGTACAACGCTGGCACAATGAGTATGGCTGCAAACAACCACGTTCCAGTTGTACCTCAGGCCACTCTGTGGGAGGGAACCCACGCTTGGTGCTGTTAGCCCAGACAGAAACCTACAGTTGGGAAAGAAAGAGGCCCCAGGAGACAAGCACTGACCTTGCTTTGTTAACTAGGATCTTCATGCTGCTTTGGATCTTGCCAGTGCTTAATCTGGTATTCCTTTAGCTGCTGAGTGCCAAGACCAGCTCATGTTCACCTGGAATGGACAGCAGTGGATCTTCAGAACCCTTCCAAGCTTCTTGACACAGTCCCACCATTTTCCGTGGGATGATATCTTGGAACCTTAATTTGAAAAAAAAATCTGGAAGATATACAAGTATACTTAAATGAGGGGGGATGGGAAGTTTCCATGAAATTTCTCAGGCTGCCAGCCGTAGTGAAGGGAAGCCTTTGGCTGATGGACCAAGAAAACATCAGCAGCTGGCACCTATAAGTCAGGCTGTCATGCCATTCTACTCCACCACCTCAGTCTCAGCTGGCACCCCTACTACTTTCTTTTCTTTTCTTTTCTTTTTTGTGTCCGGTCATGGGGCCTTAACTCTGGGCCTGGGCGCTGACCCTCAGCTCTTCAGCTCAAGGCGAGCGCTCTACCATTTGAGCCACAGTGCCATGTCCCGCTTTTTTCTTTTTGCTTATGTGGTACTGAGGAATCGAACCCAGGGCCTCAGGCATGCAAGGCAAGCACTCTACCACTGAGCCACCTTCCCAGCTCACCCCTACTAGTTTCTTAAAAAAAAAAAAAAAAAAAAAAAAAAAAGTTTCTAAAAAAAGGGATCCATGACATTGATCCCTTAGAAGAAGGTAAGGTCTTTTAAGTGGAGGAATGATAGGAGTCAGGCAGAGTTAGAAAACCTGATGGCTGGGCATGATGGTTTGAGTGTGGACAGGGAATCATACCTTGGACTGCTAACATTAACAGGACGTTCAGTACAGCAAATAGGGTCTTGTTGACCTGTAGATCCCAGTCTGAGGAAAAAAAAATAACAGTCCATCTGACCATCCAAGATCATGAGGAGGTGTGATGCCCAATTCCTAATACATTAACTCACTTGTCTAGGACTGACCTGATGTCTGCAGACCCAAGAAAGCTGACCTCTAGGGCAGTCCTCTTTCCTGAGCCCGCCTACCTTTCCATCTGGGGTCTACTTTTACTTTGCTAATTTTAGCTTTACATGAATAAACCTAGTCCTGCTTCAATCTTCGTATCTGTCCTCGAATTCCTTCTCTGCCAGACCAAGAACTCTGTGGCCCCCAGACCCAGTGATGTGAATACAGTAACAATGTCACTACTCCAAAGCTGGGTTCAAATACCTATGCTCCCTCCCGACACTCCCACTGTTGCTAACAGCCTCTGCATTAATAAGTGAATGCTTCTCTGTCCTTCACTACTGCCCTGAATGTGACCAGATCAGCCACAGTGGGAACTCCAGAGTTGGGCTTCTAGTTACAAAACTCTAGTTCAGAAACACTGACAGCGAAACGGATGATTTATTTTAATTAAGATCCATTGAGAAATGCATGTTTTAATAAACCTTGTTTGGTTAACAATCAGATTTTTGTGACACAGTGATTAAATGATGTATTGTTAACAAGTGTGCTATGATAGCTCGATCTAGAAGAATTATCAGGTCTCAGGACTCTGATACAGTCTGATCAATAAGACTGATGTAAATTCCATTAAGAATTCTGTGGTCTAATGGAATAAGAAGGGTTTCCAAGGAGAAAGACGTGCGATGTACAACTTCCCACTTGTAAAAGCTGAAGGTTTTTTCATGTATAACGGTGGGTATGAAATCGCCATGTTACTTTTGGCCCACGGAGTCCATTTCCACATGGCAATGCAACTCAGTGGAACCTTAAAACAAAAAACACAACTGAGTTTATGACAAAACTTCCGATCTCAGCGGGCGCTGGCGGCTCCGGAGGCTGAGCGCTGAGGATCAGGGTTTGAGGGTCCGCGGGACTCTCGCCTCCAACAAACCACTCAGAAAAAGCCAGAGCGGAGCTGTGGCTCCAGAGGCTGGGGCGGTGCCCGGGCCCCGCGCTCAGGCCCGGGGCACGGGGAGGGGGACCCCCGAGAGCCCAGGCTTCTTCGCGGGAGGACGCGGTGCGCCCCGCCCCTCGGGTCTGAGGGCCTCTGTGGGCCGGGCCTCCGCGTGGCCTCTGGCTGGAGGGCTCGGCCCAAGTCATCCCTGGCGCCAGAAAGGCCCCCGGGGGCCAGCGCGTCCCCGGGGTCACGGCCAGCGCCCGCGGGGCCGCAGGGGTCGCGGGGGTCCCGCCCGCCGCTCCCGGCAGAGCCCGGCGGGGGCGGACCGCTCGGAGAGCACGCCGGGCCGGCTCACGGGCACGCGCGCACGCGCTCGGCCCTTCGGGGCCATCGGGTCGCGCGCGCCCTAGCGAGACGCCGACCACGCCACCCCGCGGGCTGGTCGGGACGGCGGACGGCGGGGCTCCAGCCGGTCAGGGCCAAGGGCAGGCCAAGGCTGCGGCCAGGTCTTCACGCCAGCGGAACGGCTCCCCGGGCCGCGCCGGCAGGGCCGGTCACCCCCCGCCAGTCTCCCCCCACCCCCCGGCCCCCACGCCCCCACCGGGCCCGCACCCCGGCCCAGCCCGGCCCAGCCCGGCCCGGCCCGGCCCGAGGCGTGCGCAGCGGGAGCTGGAGCCCCTCGCGCGCCCTGAGAGGCGGTTGCGCCTCAACCGTCTGCAGGAATCGACCAATCAGAAGGCGAGTGGTCGCGCGGATTCCCCGCCCTCCGGCGCGGAAGGCGGGAAACCATGGTGACGAACTGCCAATCAGGAGACGCGTTGTTGCCCGGAGCCCCGCCCCCGGCGGGGGGACCCGGTGACCGGCGAGGGTCATGGGGCGCGAGGGCTCCTGAGGCGGGCCCCCCCGTCCCGCGCTGGGCCGCGGCGTCCCCCCCGGCCTCGCGGTGGCGAGCGGTTCCCGGCCCGCACTCTCCGCCCGCCTCCGGCGGCGGCGCGGCCCATGAGGAGGGGGCGGAGGCCCGGAGCGGGCGGCGGGCTCGGCGTCTGGGCGGCCCGGGCCGGGCAGGCGAGGGGGCGGCGGCGCGCCGGGCCCCGCGCGGTGATTGGCCGCCCGCGGGCGGCGGCCGGGGCCCGGGCCGGGCGGGGCGGGCGGGGCGTGCGGGCGGAGCCGCGGCGGCGGCGGCGGCGGCGGCGGCAGCGGCGGCGCGGCAGCCGGGACGATGCTCCTGTCCCTGGTGCTCCACTCGTACTCCATGCGCTACCTGCTGCCGGGGATCGTGCTGCTGGGCTCGGCGCCCACCTACGTGCTGGCCTGGGGCGCCTGGCGCCTGCTGTCGGCCCTGCTCCCGGCCCGCGTCTACCAGCTGGTGGACGACCGGCTCTACTGCGTCTACCAGAGCATGGTGCTCTTCTTCTTCGAGAACTACACCGGGGTGCAGGTGAGGCGCCCGGCCGCGGGCGCCGGGACACGTGCGGGCGGCGGGCGGCCGCGGGAGGAAGTTTGGCCCGCCCGCCCTGCGGGCTCGGGCGGCTCCGCCGGGAGCGTCGGTTCCGAGGCCGCGGCCCCGGCGCCCCCCCCCCCCCCCAGCCCGCGCAGGGCCCCGGCCGGGCGCCGCGGCCGGGCCGTCTAAGTAGGGCAGGCCTCTGGCCGAGCCCGGGGTGGGTCGGGAGGCGGCGCCCGGCCGGCCCGGAGCCCCGCCGCCGGGGGGTCCCCGCGACTCGGGGTGGGCTCGCAGGGCGGCCGGGTGCTGCCCGCGCGGGCGCCCCGTTGTGCGGCTTGGGTTGGCACCTGAGCCGGCGGAGCCGTGCCGGTGGGCGCCCCCCCCCCGTGGCCCCGGGAACCCCGTGGCCTCTGAACTCGGCCCCAGGCAGGTAGAGCCGGGGCGGCGATCAGCCGCCGGGTGCACACGTGCAGGTCCGCAGACAGGTCCGGATCGGAGACCGCCTCGCCCCGGGCCAGGCCGGCGCCCCGCCGCGGGTATCTGTGCGGGAGGAACCTTGGACGGGCCTGGAACCCCTTTTGGATTAGGGGGGCTTGGGGAGAGAAGAAAACACCCCACTGTTGGGAGTCCGTCTCAGGAGAGCAGAATGGGACCTCATCAATTCAGGCCGAGTATTCCCGCCCAGCCCCTCACTGGACCGCTGGGTGCATAACTCCCCATCACAGGACACCCTAGACCACGTCAGTCACCTCCCGGGGAGACTGCATTCCGTGTGGTAGGTTATTTTATTTCCAGGGAAAACAATGGAATACATCCCAGGTAGTAAAACATACACTTTGATGGTAAAAAATTACCCATATTACTGCAGACTACAGATGTCCAATTTTTTATTTCCTAGCAAGTGCTTTCTGAGACAATCCTGAGATTTTTTTTCTCTTATTAGTACCGTAAAATAGCCCTGTAGGAAGTGGCGCTGTGGCTTAAGCGGTAGAGCGTACGCCTTGTGCTGAAGAGCGCAGGGACAGCGCCAGAGTTCAAGCCCCAGGACCGACAAAAACAAAAAATGGCCCTGTATCCATTGATAATCTTCGTTTATAACCTTTAAGTATAATCCACAGGGCTGGGAAGGTGGCTCAGTGGAAAAGCGCTTGTCCTGCATGTCTGAGGCCCTGGGTTCGATTCCTCAGCACCACATAAGAAAAAAGCTGGAAGTGGCGCTGTGGCTCAAGTGGTAGAGCGCTAGCCTTGAGCTGAAGAGCTGAGGGACAGTGCCCAGGCCCAGAGTTCAGGCCCCACGACCGGGCCCCCCCCCAAAAAAAAAAAAAGTTTAACCCACATTCTTATCTTGATAAAAGTTTATTGGGGATCCTAGAACTGCATACTAAGCATTAAAGGTAGACTAGGAACATTGAATAAGAATATTAGGTGCAAGACTGATTTTTTTTTTTTAATTTTGTATTCCTTGTGTTTTTTATGCCAGTACTGAGGCTTGAACTCCTGGCCTAACTCATTTGGCTTTTTCATTCAAGGCTGGCACTCAACCAACTGAGCCACAGCTCTACTTCTGGCCTTTTGCTGATTGATTGGAGATAAGCATCTCATAGACTTTTCTTCCCCAATTAGTTTCAAACAGCTAGGATCACAGGCCCATGAGAACCCAGGAATTTCTTGTTCTAAATGTTTTGGGGGCTGGAGCAGAGAAAAATTATGTGCTGTTTAGTAACTATACCTTATTTAGTATATTAGTCCTTTTGTCCCCTAGAATTTAGGTATCCCATGTAGACAACGCCATCATCATTTTTTTTTTTTTTGGTCGGGCATGGGGCTTGAACTCTGGGCCTGGGTGCTGTCCCTCAGCTCTTCAGCTTAAGGTGAACTCTCTACCACTTGAGCCACAGTGCCACTTCTAGTTTTCTGGTGGTTAATTGGAGATAAGAGTCTCACAGACTTTCCTGCCGGGGCTGCCTTTGAACCATGATCCTCAGATCTCAGCCTCCTCAGTAGCTAGGATGACAGACATAAGCCACTAGCGTCCAGCTTCCATCCAACTTTTTTATAGTTTCATTTCATATGAAATCAATGTGAGAAAAAAATGAATATGTTTAAATATAAGACCAAATGAAAGATTTATAGAGACATTGTACTTTTACTATATGCCTATTGATTTTCATTAATAACATTATCAATGAGATGGGTTTTGTTTTTTTTTTTTTTTTTTGAGACAAGGTTCCAGCCTAACCTGGAACTTGTGATCCTACTGGCTCTATTCCTTGAGGGCCAGGATTACAGTCTTGTATCACTGTACCCAGTTTGATTTAAATTTTAGTTTTCTTGTTTTGCTAAGAAACTTTAAAAGATTTATTTCATAGGTTTTATTTACAAGGCTAGAGATGATTCTTTTATGCAGTGTATAAGTATAGTTTTTATTTCCAAAGTTTTAGTAACTGAAGAGGATATATGTTTTTAAATAAAAGATCATCAAATTACAGACATTAAAGAATTATTTGTATTTTTTATTTTTGTCACCTATTTATTAGCACAAGGAGCAGTTTCCTTGTGACATTTCCACTTGTTACTTGTTAAAGTGTACTTCAGTCTCATCCCCTCTCTCACTTTCTCTCCCTCTTCCTAAAACAGTTTCAGCAGGTTTCATTGAAGTGATGTTTTTAATTAGAATTTTTTAATAATGATACTTTTGTGTCCTTTCATTCTTGGTTTTTAAAAAGTGTTTCACAGTACTTGTCTCAGAGTATTTTGTTTTGCATAGGATTTTCAAACTGCAGAGAAGTAGGTCCGTGAGGTGGGTCATCAGAACTTGGCAGGGAAAGGTACTCGAAGATTCCATTGCAGTCTAGGTAAACGTCTGTTCTTTCCTCATTTCATATGGACTGCTGTTGCTGACATGGCTCTTGGTGATTTATCCTTTGGGTCTTTCAGAGTCTTTTACCAGAATTGAAACTCCACGGAGCACCATGTACTCCTTCAGAATAAGTAATGGGAATTTTGTCTTCTGCCTTTCTCTTAATTTGAGTCTGATGAAAACCCACCTGCCCCCTTGCCGTTGTGCGAGTCCTTGATTGCAGTCGCCTTGCCCTCTGTTTTGGCCGCCATAACTTCAGACTTAAATTTGTTCTCACAGTTCTGGAGGCCAGAAGTCTGAAGACAAATGCAGGCTGGGTTACATTCCCTCTAGGGTAAGAATCTGTTCTTTGTCTCTTTCAGCTGCTGGTGGCTGTCCTCATTCCTGGACGTGGGGCCACATCAAGCCAATCTCTGCCTCCCAGTCAGTAGTGTTTCCGTCTCAGAAAGGCTCTCCAATCTCCCTCTCCCTTTGTTTGCTAAGGACACTTGTCAGAGGGCTAAGGCCCCACCTGTACAATCCAGGATGAACCCTCACCTCAAGACCCTTAATCACACCCATTCTTCACATCAGGGATAACTAAGGCCACACCGTACAGGGTGCCTAGAAATGAACACTGTAGGTCTGTCTGGTCGGTGTCATGTTATTTCTTAGTATTTGCATATTAGCATATTGGGTCTTTGGTCTTTGCTTTTATTTTTTTCATACTAAAATAAAAGGCACCTGATTTCCTATGGCTAAACTTACTTGAAAAATAATTTCTCATAATATTTTAATTTTTTATTTATCAATTTATTTTCACTTCTTAAGTAGAACATTTGATTTGTTATTTTATAGTGTATTCCACATAATAACCAGCTTTTTCATGGTTTGGTGCTCTCTAATTTATTATTCAAATGTGAAATTACCATCTTCTGTAGTATGCCAAAACATAAAACAACCCAGAAATCTGGAATCATGTTGAGACATCTCCTATATAATATGTTAATAGATGATACACATTCATGTTGAGACTTCTCTTATATTTAATTGGTGAAGGCATTGGCATTTGATTTGTTCACCATGTTAAATGTGTGTAGAACTTAAGTGTGGTCTGATTGGAGATTCAGATGTGGGGGCCATTTGTGTCCTTGAGCCGGAGCTGATGGCCAGCTGGGAGGCCACACAGGAAATGGGAGCGCTGGCAGCAGTGGCTAGGCTTGAAAAAGGAGTGATTTTATCACCATTTTAGTTCAGCTTCAATCAGTTGAATTTGTTTGGATTTACTTTATGCTTTCCATCAGTGGTTTTGACTACTAATGTTCTCTCTCCCAAATGCTAACATAAAAGAATAGGATGTGAAAATATCCACTCATTTATTTTACTTTTGAAATAGGGTCCCACCTGTAGCCCACTCAAATAGCTCTCACCTCAGCCTTCTGAGTTGCTGGGATTACAGCCATGCGCCACCATATTGTTTATATAAAATACACTTAACACTTTCCTGTTGACCAGTATTAAGTACCAACTAGTTTGAAAAATACTGGAGGTGAAATAAGTAATGTAAATCTAAGACTTTTGTGTTTGTATAATGTATTGAGCCAATTGCTAACTACTGAAGTGATTCTTGCTTTTATGGAACAGTTTCAGGTTCCTCAGAAACAGTGAAGACTTCCTATCTAGAAACCACTTAAAACTGGTTCTTTCCTGTAGTGCTGTCTCATCAAAGTAGTTATAGATGAGTAAGTTAAGTTTGCATTCTGTACCTTGCTGAAAAGCAGCTAAACTCCTGGAATTAAGTATGTTTATTTAGAATGGAAGGTACCTCATAAGTCATCCTGTCCAACTCCTCTTATCATACATTCTTCCTAGATATCCAGTCTCTTCCTGGGTCTGTGGTCTTAACTAGAATGTGAACTTTTGTCTGTGGCTGTATTTTTATTTTTCTCTGCTTATTCTTTGTCCACATGACCCTTTACAAAGACCCTAAGTTAACTTGTGGCCTAGGTGGGGCTGAAGGACTGGGCAGGCCCCGGAGTGCCTGCATGTTTGCCTTTGCTTGCTTAAGCGTAAGGGAGAAGCCTCTGATATAGGAAATTAGACATTGCCCAATCAAGTACAGTTCTAGTCTAACAAATCTGGCTAGGAAACTTGTTTC